TTTACTACAAGTGTAAATAGCATCAATGCTAAGGAACTCAAAGTGTTTTTTATAGACTCAGATCCCGACGATTTACTTTTGCCGGAGCCTATGAATTGGATGCGACCTTCGACATCGGGATAAATGTATTTATGTTCATGCARATATTGACGAACTGCTTCACGAACRGTTTTTTGCATACGTATAGACACAGGATTAGCTCGATCAATCATAATGTATCCGTCGCCACCATCGACCAGAAACTTTGGCACAATCACTTTATAGTAGGCGCTGTCGTTCAGATAGCTGTACGATGGCACTAAGCAGTCGGCGCAGCGCACTTTCACAGATACAACTCGATTACCCTCTGGCATATCTGGATTGTAGACCACATGAATGCCGGATACTTGAAGAAATGCTCCATCTGAATCGCTGAACCTATATGCAGCGGAACGTTCCAAAGCGATCCTCAAGGCTTTGCCAGTAATTCGTGTGATATAAAGATCGTTTTCAAAGGGCAGTACGGTAAGCAGATCATTCTGTGTAATAATGCCATCGGATTTTCGTTCGATTGAACTACGTATACCTAAAATAAGAGCTTTCATACATCAAAGTTGTTCTGAGTTTACGGCACGTACTTACCCCCGCTTTGATATAAAGCAATAGCTGCATCTGTCCAGTAATCMCCTCCTTGATCTTCTAGCACACGACTGAATATCATTACATCCGTAATTAGATTTCCCATATTACACTCTACACATCGACAATATTTCATACGCCCCTCCAAATACACTTTCGTATGGCCGATCACAGACTTCTTCAGGGCAGTAATATTCTCTCTGTACATCTCTAACAGATCTAGTACCTCCTTCTCCTGCGCTACTCGAGCATCAAGTAATATCGGCGAACCATCGAATTCAATTAGATTTCCATCTCTATCGAACTGTTAAAAAATCTCAATGTATATTTCATAGATCTGTTTTAGATTCGACTTACCTTTACATGTAATTTCCCCAAATACTTTGTATAGGCGTAGGCCTGTACGACAGGAACCCGTTTTCCGCTCTTCTGTGTTATTATAGTCGGATATGGACCGTCGATACTTTCCACATTTGGTTTTGTTCCATTAAACAAGAATGTGTTCGAATGTCCGCCAATRACGATATCGACTTCGGGACAGTTTTTAGCTATATCCTGATCCTTTTTATAGCCAGAGTGTCCTAAAGCAATAATAATTGTGTGACCCTGTGCCTTAAGCTTAGCTGCCTCTGCGCTGAAATTGTAAAACTTATGTATTACTTGGATATATGTGCATGAGTAAAAAGTACTAAGAGTTATTTTTACAGAAATTGTGCCATTTCACAATTCTTAAATTTTCGAGTTACAGTACCTAACGATATTATCATAAAATTAG